AAAATCTCTACAGTGGGCAGCTGCCTCTCCCCAAGGCTTACTTGGTCTAACCATGTAGTTGAAGCTGGGACTGGTCACAGCCTTTCTGCATGAAATGTTTGAGGAATCAAGAGTGGGTAGAAGCAGAGACTGGCACTATTCATTGTGGGGAAAAATAGGAGTGCAAGAGCACTTCAGGATGCACAGTTTGGTGTATGCACAGATGAGTTTATGCCTATTGGATTCTCCAACAGGTAACAAAGGAACTGAAAATACTCTCAAACACAGCTGCATTTAATTTGGAGGATGGTTGGTTTGTTTTTTTTCCTCCAGGAAGTTTATCTTCCCTTAGTTGTTGGACAGGAGACCCACAGGGAGTGACATGGAGGATGGAGGGACCTGTTGCTATCTCTGCAGGACTTGCAGGAGGTATCCTAGAGGCACTGTGAGCTGTGCTTAGAGAAGAAATCTCTCTTTAACAGGCAATTTCCAACCTGTTTCTAGATAGTGACTTCAGCACTTAATCACAAAACTGGTGCCACAGGACATGTCCCATGGTGGTGTGCCTGGTGTGGAGAGCCTCACCTGGCCTCTGCCCTGGAGCTTCAGCACCAGCAGCCTCTGCAAACCAGCTGGGCAGATTATGTTACCCCCCAGCACCATCTCCTTTGCACCTCCAAGTCCGAGGGCATGAGCAGTGGAGGAAGAATTGACTTTCACCCAAAGAAACAAGAAACAGGTGCTAAATAAAGACCAGGCGATCACCCTGCCAGGTGACTTCTGTGCAGCACAGGTTTATAGTTAGCAATGCAGTTTGTTTTATTAGTTATAAATAAAGTACAAAAAATCCACCAAAAGTGAATCTAAGCATTTACACAATTTCTAATGTCTTTTTGTTTCTTCAATGCGCTATTGCTTTAATATTAATAATAAATATTTTTCTAGCTTTCTTCTATAAAATAGTCTATGTAGCAAAATGTTGCACAGCACAACAGAACAGCAGTAGGAGTACAAAAATGTGGGTGATCCTTTCACCAGCCTGCCATCATTAAAGGAGAGGATTTTTTTTATTATTATTTTTAATTTTTTTTTTTTGTTCACTTGCTCCTTGTTCTACTTATCCCTTTTGCAGTATCTTTGTGAGGGGGCAACAACTGATCCCCTGTCCCCACACAGCTCAAAACCTCAGCTCCAGGCTACAGGGAAGGAGTGTTTCAGAGCAGCAAGGAAAAAAAAACACAACACAACCCCACACCCCCAACAAACAGGCAGGTTTTAAACCCAGGGTAAGGCATAGTCAACAAAGCAGAGCAGCACCCTGAAGGGACAGAAAGAACAATGTTAAGGTACAGTCGTTTTGTGCCTTTCCAACCCAAAAGAGAATTGCATCCAAAGCCTTCAGGGGGGCATGACATAGAGCCCCAGTTCTGTCCATATGCAGCCGAGCACCTGTGATGACCAAGAGTGGTTATGGCTTAAAGCTTAAAAATATTATCAGGAGTGCTCTAACCCTCTTGCAAGGCTTGAGCACTTGATATTCAGGAGCCTTTCGGGTAAAGGGCAGCGTGTTAGGAGAGTGGCACAGCCTTAGGGAGAGGGATGGGGACGTGGATGGGGATGGAGATGAGATGGGGATGCTTGAGCACTGCTGCAAGAAGGGGTTGTCAGCTCAGTGCTGGTCCCCTCCGTGAGGACAGGAGGGGTCTGGTGCAGGTCCCAGCTCTACGGTGGATTAAAAAGCTTCAAATCAACATCCCCCCCCTCTCAGCAGGGAAGACGAAACCAACTGGAAGGTTTTTAGGAAGGGGGATTCTGCTCCATGCATGTTTTACAGCTGGGTTATAGCAAATGCTCATGGGCGGGCGTAACGAAGGGATCCATAATTGTCCATCTCAGTCCCTCCCAGCTAGACTGGGTCCACCCTTAAAAACTGCAGTGAATCCCTTTGGCTTTGCTGCCTCCAGGCTCAGGCTCAACCCGTCGCCTCCTCCATCCTCATCTCTCAGGTGAGAAGAGCCAGACAGAGCTGAACCCACCTGGGCTTCCTTCCTCCCTCAGCTTTGGGAGCGGTTTGCAGAGTCTTGCTCTACAGAAACA